TTGAAGTTCAGTTAATTGGACTCGAACTCTCACTGTTTAACTTTATTTAGAATCTTTCTTCCATGAAATTAACCGCCAATTTCCTTCCGTTTCAGATGATCGCAGGCAGTGGAACATTTCGACTGATAATATATCCACTCTTGACGGTACGTGCAATGCTTGTATAATAATTCATACAAATCGACATTGCTCAATCAGTTCAAATTTGAATCCGAAGTGTTATCATCTGAAGTTTTTCATCTTGCTGAGACCATTAGCTCAGTTCAACTTTTAATGGCAAATAACAATTCCTAATTGCAGATATGGATTCAAATCCTGCAAATATCAACCGCTTCGCTGGATTATCCGAATGAAGTGATCGGGAAACCGCTGGTGGAGTGTGAATTCGATCGTATGGTAGTCAAAGTTAGTTGAAGAAATCTTCTTCGTTTACTTACTTGCGTATATCAGCATTCATTTATCATATTGTTTTGCGTCCCACGATATTTTGTGTATACCAATACATTGAGATTTCGGTTTCAGGTGAAAACAACGAACACAAATCCGTCACATATCTATGTGAATGACTATGCAAATGATGAGAAATGTATGACTCAAAATCAAAATCGACTCGAAATACTAACTGGAAACTGTGGTATCACAAATGATCAAATGGTAGACCTTTTAGTAACATCATCATCCAATATTTTCAATTTCTCTTTAATGCAGTGGTTCTCACGTTCGGATGCTCAATTACCCCTTTTGATGATCTGGCAGGCCACCGTTACCCATCCCCTCCCCATCTGACACATGAATATCATGATGGTATTCGACATGACTAGGCCTTCTCTTAGAAATTAGAGCGTTGTGTTCCTCATTATTGCAATCGATTATGATTCCATGAAAAGCTATTGTCTGTGACACGTTCACTTCAAATTGATTCAGATGGATTCTCACTCTTTTCAGAGGTGTTGTATTCACTCTCATAGCTATCACATGCGAATATCGTTCTCTTGATGAGATTTTCTCATTCATTTCGTCTCAATTTCACATCACAGTTCAAATCAACTTCTCATTCTGTAGTATATACTATTTACTGAGCACGTTGACGAGTGTTGACAGCCGAAATCAACAATGCAACAATTGAATTCTACTGTTTAACAACATTCGACGTAAATGATCAATTATAGAGTGTATTTGATAGAATGAGAATTTGATTTTAATTGTTGATCAATTATAGAGTGTATTTGATAGAATGAGAATTTGACTTTAATTATTTAGCAATTATAGAGTGTATTTGATAAAATGAGAATTTGACTTTAATTGTTGCGTGTTATAGGATGTATTTGATAGAATGAGAATTTGACTTTAATTGTTGAGTGAAATGAATGAAGAATTAGCAGAAGAGAACACTTTTGGTGATAAAAGCTATGAGAGCGACTATAACAGCAGAAGAGAACACTTTTGGTGATAAAAGCTATGAGAGCGATTGCGACAGCTCAAGAGAACACTTTTGGTGATAAAAGCTATGAGAGCGATTGTAGCAGCAAGGAAAAGAATGAAAACTCTGTTAAAACCCTTAAAAACCCTGTTAGGCCCGGACGAGCTAACGATACTCAGAAAATAGGCGAATTAAGAGTGTTGACATCAACCAACCGCATTTACATATCCCAGTTAAAAAACACCATCACAACGGCGTTCTATCGTAACATAAAACTGCAAGAAATACTAACCTCCGGACCGCTTCCATTACCCCTTAACAACACTAAATTTCCCGAAATGAGTAATTTCACCCCATATGAGAACCACTGGCCTGCCTTTTCTGTTGAATGAAGTGTGAATATATTTGAGCAATATTTTCCCAGCAAATCTCAATAAGCTTTTAATTTGAGAGCAATCAGAACGACATGATTTACAATGCTTGCATAACGGTACAACTCCATCCACTCTTCGTAACTGCGAATGATCGTTCGTATTGTGTACAGTGTGTATTCACAAATTCTGAATCTATCGAAAACGTCGACGAAACACTCGCAATAAGGTCAGTGATTTGAAGAACTGTATTGTCCCCTCAGGACGAAGGAGTGATGCATTTCTATCATTATCTCTATAAGTACTTGGATTCAATCAGGATAAATTCCTGAAATAATATCATGGTAACAAGTGGTCATGGATTTCAGTCAAGCGACACCAGCTCATTTGACACCTCACTTGGACTCACATCTTGCCAAAAAGCCAAAATGTACTTACGCANTTCAGTCAAGCAACACCAGCTCATTTGACACCTCACCTGGACTCACATCTTGCCAAAAAGCCAAAATGTAGTTACGCAATTAGACGTGATTCATTGGACGGACCTAAAGTCCATTACGCAACAGTTGGCCAGACAGTTTTTCATGTGTGGGAATGTGACGGAACTGGTTTGTTCTTAGTTGCTTCTTATGAAAACACATATCTGACTGGGTATGATCCAGTATGCACGTCCTGATTCTAAAGTTGACTTCCTCTGCGAGAATTCGTCTCAATTTTCAGATGGCGTACGCATGCGCGTACAGAACTGTTATGTTGAAGATGGTCAAGAGAATCGCATTCTGATAATCGACGAAAATGGGTATTTATCTTTACCAATTTTCTTGTTGATCACTCATGAAAATACTCACTTATGCCACCAATATAACGTACTTCATATCTTTTACATATGATGTTCAATAATACAATCTAGATTTCCGAATTTTTTTAAAAGAAACAAATAATTTCAGATGTGGTATAGATCAGTACATCTTGCCAACGCCACAGTATTCACGCGATCTTCGAATTGCCTCACAGGTGAGTTTTTATAATTTTATAACTGTATAATTTTTATAACTTTGTAACTTTATAACTTTCATAACTTTTATAACACTGGAAATTTCGGT